GCCTGGGAGGTTGCTATTGGGTCTGGATGTGAGAATACAGGTGCTTACCTGCCATCACATTCCTGGGAGCACACACAGCTCCATGCTCCCTGCCACTCATAGACATTGCCCCTCAATGCAATGGGAGCGGTGGGGAAAAGCCTCAGATGAAGCAGCTCTGCACACTGTCACCCACCCAGCTTGGTGGGAGGGGGAATGGCAACACATACAGCCACTTCCTCCTCCATACTACAGGCATTCCCAGATGAGAGACACCTACAGTATGGAGATTTAAGTGTACTATTTAACTCTGAGATAAGATCTAATTGTTGAAAGCCAGACCCAAGACCAGGCCATCCTATAAAGAAACCGAGAAGCTGAAAAATGAATTTTCTTAAAATCAACCTAAAAAAAGAAAGATTCTGTTCTAGTCCTTGTCTTTCCATGATCATGGCCTTATGGTGCAAGGTAAACATGGAATTATTTTGTACAGCCTCAACTTTGTTTCAAATGAATGTAAATACATCTACATAGTTCCCTGGATATCATCTAGAAAAGTATCAGAGGGGTTGCTGTATTAGTCTGTATCCACAAAAACAATGATTCTTGTGGCATCCTAAGTATTTACTTGGTTTTGGCAAAAGCTCACTATCAGTTGCATGAAGCGGAATTTACAGGCAGACAAATATACTGGACATGTGACAAATTAGGTTTTTACCTATGAAAGCTTATGCCCCCCAAAAATAAGTCTTTAAGATGCCACAAAACTGCTTGATGTTTTTGTAAGACAAGTCAGAAGGGTACAGTAGTCTGGAAACGGTCATCTGCTATCTTATTAGCAGATAGTTCATTCAGCATACTTTTTTTAGTGTCTCCTTTGATGTGGATGGCCTCCATGGAGCTAGCCAGCTTTACACTTGAGATATCATTTAGATAACCTGGGAAAGGATGTTTGCAAACTTTATCTGACTGAACCCAAGTGTGTCTAGGAAGGCAATACAATAGTGGTAGGGGTCTGGCCAGAGAAGGCATTGTCCCTTCTGATGTATAAACATGTTTTTCCCTTCATTTTTGCAGCCTATAAAGATAGATAAACATGCAGTTGCACTACGACTATAACTTTCATGAAATAACTGTTTTTCTTCTTGCTTGTTCTCACTTGTTCTATAAAAGTACTTTCAGGGACATACACTTTGTAATCTCTGTAACCTGCTGATTCAGGAAATCTGTAGTGAAGAAAATTTTGTAAACAAACTGGGGGAGGAGGGGTAATAATATTCATCATGTGCCTGTTAATAGTCATTGTATAGGAGTTAATATGATTAAATAATGATTTAAGGGAAACAGCGATAAATGTGTGAATTAAACATACGAAAATGGATGAAGGAGTGAAACTGATGCCAAAATCATCGCTCACTCTGAACGTCATGTTGGGGAAAAGAGGTGGAACCAGTATTTACAATAAAGAGGTCCATTTACTCCATCTGCTCTTGGGTTTCCTGTTTCTTCTCTAACATCTACGTCCTGCTTTGAGCAGAGGGTTAGACTCACTAGATGATATTCTGACCACCTCCAACCTTAACCTTATATGATTTTTCTATATGAGCTACTTGATGGACTGCATAAGTTTGGGTAGTACCTTCATTTTCTCTTGCATCTGCTGTTGGAAATAGTTCCAAGCCCTTAAAAGAAACCACACACTCTAGTGTAGAGTCTTGCCATTGGAGTAATCCCTGTTCGTGAGAGCAGAAGACCTAAGTATCTATAAGTAAAATATAATGATGTTATATATGCTAGATCTTTTAAAAATTTTCTATATTGGGAAGACAATGCCTGTCTCCTTATAGATCAGATATTAGGCTGATAATTCTCAGACAAAGGAAGAGCTCTTCCTTAAATCATCAATGCCAAGCATTCAGAACACTGTAAACAGAGGGACTTTGACTTGTTTACAGAGAGGTCCACAAGCATTGCATTTTGATTAATGTGTTCTCTAAAGAAACTTCTGAGTCAGTTTCAGTGTGTTCACTAAAGTACTGAGTAATGGGTATTATTTTATATGGGAAATGGTGAATTTAATGAAAAATTAAAAAACTGCTTTGACGAGAGCCAAACAGAATATAGTTTGACAGATTCACGGACATTAGCAATTCAATCTTCATTGACTTATCCTGTCTTTCAAAGTTTAAAACCTTGATCGACTTTAAAATTATATTAGAATACAAAGTATGGCTCTGGACACCAACTATTCCAAATGACAGGTTCTTGCCCTTTTTTGATGGATGGGAGGAGTGCTTTCATTTTCTGGGCATTCCAGCCTTCAGTGGCAAATGGTTTAAACTCAGGTGGCTAGGAGATGTTGGCAGGCAGCCAGGAGAGCCAATGGGAGAAGGTGTTGAGATTAAACTTGAAAGAAACTCTGCTTGCTGTATTGTTTTCTATGGGTGTGTCTAGACTACAGAGGTTTTTTTTACAAAAAAGTAGCCTTTTTCGAAAAAACTTCACCTGTGTCTAGACCGCAGCTGCGTTCTTTCTAAAGTAAATTGAAAGGACGCGGTAGTTTTTCTGATTGTAGTAAACCTCATTTTACGAGGACCACCACCTTTTTTCGAAAGTACTCAAAAAAAAGCGCTACTGAATGCGAACTTTGCTTTTCGAAAGAACATCTAGACTTCAGAAAAAGCGGCTCGCTTTTTCAAAAAGTCTGCTTGTAGTCTAAATGCTCTCTCTCAAAAGAGGCTTTTTCAAAAGATTCTTTCAAAAAAGGCTTGTAGTCTAGACATAGCCTATGAGTTTAAGCCAGGAGCTAGGGGGAACAAGATGAATCAAACCACGCAGGAATACCATATGCCTACTTACTTCACGTATCTGTACTTCAAGGACCATTGAATAGATAAACTTTCCCTATTTAGACACGATCAGTTTATTTTCTTTGTTTGGTTGAACTGCTCTGTGCTAAGTCCAGGTGTTCTCTCTCCCTCCCCCCCCGCAATACACTGTAACTAAACTGAATCCCAGGGAAACAATTCTCTGTGCTTTAATCTGTTTTTCCTCAGTTGCTCTGTAACACCTAGCAAACAAGTATGCTTTACCAAGTATGTCTTTTTGTTTTGGTAATAAAATCACCTTTAAGGCTATGATCTGATTCTTATGTCCTGGAAGGCAATAGGTAGTCTGTGTATGTATGCCTAAGACTGAGAAGTCAGCTATCAGAGATTAGTTTTTTTTTTTTCCAAGCTCTCGTGGTAAGAGTTTGGGGTACCCCTGTGGAAAAAGTTACCAAGTGCTTCCGTCCTGGGTTCAAGAAGAAAAGTTTTTTCCCCCTCATTCGGATGGTGGCAGCTACCTCCGAAGGCCAAGGAATCTGTGACCTTGGAGAGCTTTTAAGCAGAAGCCGACAGAGGCAAGATGTTTTAACGTCTCTTGAGGGCCCCCACTTTCTGCACTGAGTGCCAGAGTGGGAAACTGCCTTGACACCCTTAACTCTAGATGATATCTTTCAGGTCCGCTGATCTTTCCATTCTTCAGAAACCAGGAAGCCAGATATGGAGTAACCTGAAGCTATACGAGATGCAGCACAGACATCATCCTCTGTATCCACCTTTTTAAAATTGGTGGCGTTTGAGAAATGAGACATACTAGCCCCTAAAGTGTTTGTGGAAGCAGGAAATCTGATCTGTATTGAGACACTGTGAAGTGGAACATCCTTAAAAGATATCAGGCCTTCCACTGGTCAGTGAGGGAGATGCTAGAGCTATCTTTTAGAAGTGATTGAACCAAGAGATTGAGGGAATTTTTGGACTTGTACGTTATCGGATCTTGTTCAGTGGAGTTTGTTGAGTCTCAAGAAACAAAAAGAACTGGCTTCTATGTCTAAACAGGCCCCCATCATCAGAGGCATCTCAGGAGATGTGGCATGAAAGGAAGGTCCCAACAGTTCATGTCCAGAACTATGGAAGAGCTCCATTTCTAAAGGTCTTGAGGTGTTTTCTGATCAGCTGCACTAGCCTTTGGTTTCATTTTATGGCCTACTCGGACACAATCAGGATAAGCAGAAGAAAGTGGGCTCATTTGGTCAAAAAAAAAAAAAACCCCCCAGGAATTTTTGGGACAGGAGAGATATCGGCCAATCCTGTCCTAAAGTTATACAATGAAATGGCAATAATAACGAGTGAGGTGGAAACAGTGAACCAGGATTTAGTTTTCAGCACTGCAGGTAGAAAAGTTTAATGCAGGGCTGAAATGGAAGGTGGCCAAGCCCTGAGTCTCATGGACAAATCTGAACTGCTCCCAGTATGCACAGGGAGACAGAGAACCCAAATGTCTTGAAATCAGAAGAGTCGTCAGGATCTATGTTCTACAACAACTTCGTAGTTGTGCCCATCACTATCATGTCTAGATAAAAAGCAATGTGCTCACTTCTATATACACCATCACCTCCCAGTTCAAAACGATGAACAAGTGAGCCATACTAAAGCAGCTCAATGGAACTCAGCATGTATCTCCTTCACGCAAGGCAGATACAACAATTCCACAAATGTAATTCCTGCTTCTAGGTTAGTAGCTTCAGTATAGCTAAGTGTCAGGGCAGGGGAATGAGAAACAGCTTAAAACAGCCTCCTTTTCAAATACAAAGTTAAAATTCAGGCTCTTTTGTAACACCTGAGAACTGTCTATCTTCACCCTTGAATTCTATACATAGTTGTTTATTATTTCAAGTGCCATCTTGACCAAACTGTCTCAGCTACTCAAACTACAATATTAAAGGACAAATGAAGGCATTCTACACTGATATGGATCTAGCTTTTGTTCCAAACTTACTTTTCGAGTATCAACAGATGCAAAGATATTTCCTCTTGGATTGCTAAAGCCCATTCCATGAGTACTAAAAGCAATTTCTTCCAGCCATGCTTTTCAAGTGCCATCTTGACCAAACTGTCTCAGCTACTCAAACTACAATATTAAAGGACAAATGAAGGCATTCTACACTGATATGGATCTAGCTTTTGTTCCAAACTTACTTTTCGAGTATCAACAGATGCAAAGATATTTCCTCTTGGATTGCTAAAGCCCATTCCATGAGTACTAAAAGCAATTTCTTCCAGCCATGCT